CAAATAAACTTAGAACAATGCAGAGGTTTGGAATGAGGCTGGATTTCTGTCTTGGAAAGCTTTCCCCCATAAATAATTGTGACAGGACTTGATAACAGAGACACTTTCACTCATTTAATTGGATGGAGGGAGGTACAAAGTCGTGACAGCAGAAGGATTAGAGGAGGTGTTTGAACAAAGGCAGGTAAAATAATGGGAGATAGCACTAAAGTAGGAAAATTTTGAAGAGGGGAAGGAATCCAGGTGATTCCTGAACTCCCATAACCCCTTCTCGTGGTCTTTAAGGCACGTTGTGTGTCTGCAGTGGCTGTAAGAACTCTGGGAGGAAAAGGGTTTCTTTTCATTTTCTGCTCTGAACCCAAATAAATCTCTACCAAAGTTAATTTGGGGCACGACTTGCAGGGCTGGGCAGCACAGAGAATTTAATTATGGCTCCCAGAAGTTCATTAGAGCAGCTGGTGTCCAGGTTTTTGGGAACACAGGGTTGGATGTGTTGGTTTCCAACAAGGCAACAGCAGGTTTTAGATGCACCTGAACTCTTAAATCTCCTATTAAAGGATATTTCATGTGAATTCTTGAGGGCTCCGAGCACAAGAACCTGTATTTGAATACAAAACCAACCCAAAACAAACCTAACCCCACAAACCCCAAAGGGAGGATACATCTCCCATTTAATTCCCTGCCCCAGGCCCAGGTTTTCCCAGGAGTGGGGCACCCAATGCCTGTAATTTGTCTGGAAGAACAGAGCACATCCCCGTGCAAATTGTCCCAGTCAGATAAACAGGTTCCATCTTTACCCCTGGCTTATTGGATTAAACGCTTTCCAAAAGTAATTGCAGAATAAACTGGGTTATATCTTGATAAAACTGGTGGAGAAATGACCTTACACCAGCTGAGCTCTTACACAGAGCCCTGGGCACGTGCTCAGAGCAAATACCAAGTGTAACTTTACTCCTGCAATTCCCAGGGATCTTTTGGATTTTATTTTAAGCAGATAATTACTTTTTTTTTTTTTAATTGTGGTTTTCAGACTTCAGTCTTTCCACAACCATAAAGTTGATATTTTAGGCCTCTTGGTACAGAATTCTCCAGTTTTATCTCCCTGTTCACACCCTTTGTCCAACTCTAGCCCAGCCAGTTCAAGTTTAAGTGGGATTTAAATGAAGGCTCAGGACAAAACTTATCCCTTTCCTGCAGTCTGATGCAAACAGCTTTTCAAGGAAAACTCAGTTAGTTTTGGCCTGGAACAAATGGTTTCTTAGAGGGAGTTTTTTTAATCAGTGTATTGTCTTTGTCTGCCTTCAGGCACTGTCTGGAGTCAGGAGGTTTAAGGAGGAAAGAAATTCCTCTGCCCTGGTGCTGTATAATAAGGGAGAAATAATTATGTACTTTTCCAAGTGCCTAAACTAAAAATCATTAGTGAGGAATCCACTGGCAAGGAAGAAAAAAAAGAGATATAACACCTTAAACACCGTGCACATTTCCAGATATTCTGTGCAAATAATCAAAACTTAGATAACCTGCCTGAGTATAAATTACATGTTTGATTATGGATTTAAAACCTGTCCGTGCCTGTGCCTGCCAAGCCCTGACAAAAAAATCTGTTCCCTGTTGACATGAATTGAGAGGAACAATTGAAAGGAAAAAAGTGGGGTCTGCTCAGGTGAAGGCACAGGAATACTCAGAACCTGAAGTACCACAAAATAATAAGGGGGTTAAAGGTTTTAATTCAGGTCATGTTGTTATTTGGGTTTGAATAGAAATCTTTTAGGGCCAAAATTGGAGATGCAAGTGGATAAATTGTCCTCTAACTCACAGAACTAACCAGGTTAGCAAGTGGCTCACAGAACTAACCAGTCCTGGGATTTTAAGCAATTTCTGGCCAGTTTGCAAACAGGTAAATAAATCTCTAACTAAACAATTTGACATAATCAATTAGAACACAAGAGGAAAACCCCAAACATCCCCAACTCCAGCCCTGCCACACAATAATAAGGGGGTTAAAGGTTTTAATTCAGGTCATGTCATTATTTGGGTTCAAATAGAAATCTTTTAGGGCCAAAATTGGAGATGCAAGTGAATAAATTGTCCTCTAACTCACAGAACTAACCAAGTTCTCAGGGCTCACAGAACTAACCAAGTTAGCAAGTGGCTCACAGAACTAACAAGTCCTGGGGTTTTGGGCAATTTCTGGCCAGTTTGCAAACAGGTAAATAAATCTCCAACTAAAGAATTCGACACAATGAATTTGAACACAAAGAGGAAAACCCCAAACATCCCCAGCCCTGCTGTTTTCCAACGGCTTTAATTCCCGTTCTTCTGTATTATCTCCCTGTTAATAATTAAAAATTCATCCAGAGTTCCACCCAGAGAAAGGATTAAAACAAAAAACGCTGTACCTTGGTGGAGAAAAAGCAGGAAAAGAGCAGGAAGGAGGAGTATTTTCATGCTCCCAGCGGTGCTGCTCCGGTGGGGTGTCCGTGCTCTGGGAATGTCGAGGTGTCCGTGCTCTGGGAATGTCGTGTTCCCAGGCTGGGCTGAGAATGAGAGGGAGCGACTGCCTGAGCTTTATTCTTGTTCCTACATGAGGAAGTGTTTGCTGAAGGTGTTGCACAACAGCCCAGTCACGGAGGGTTACAGCCAGTGGAAGTTCCTGTCGGTTGGTTCGTGTCCCGCGGGTCGGGATATGGATCGATGGCTCCGACTTCAGATCCCTCAAATTGTGATTTCCTCAAAGTCTCTGCAAGTGTCTGAGAGCCCCTGGAGGGGGATTTAGTGGCAGGGAGAGGAAAAGGGCACCTGAGAGTGCCCTCAAAGCTCTTCTGTGCTGCAGGAGGGAACCAGGAGCTCTGGGAGTGCTGTCACAACTTGGGGCAAAAATAGGCCTGGAATCCTGGAATGGTTTGGGTTGGAAGGGACCTTAAAGCTCATCCCATTCCCAAATCTATCAACAAATAAATACAGAATTGGAGCAGTCATTGAATTATAGAGTGGGTTGGGTGGTCCTAATTTTATGTATTTATAATTGAACTGGAATAAAATCAGTGGGTGCCACCGGTGGGACAGTTTTGGGGAGGTTTGGGGTGAAAAAGGAACACAGGGCCAGGCTTCAGTTCTTGTTATTCCCAATTTACCTGCATGTGTGAATCATATCCCCAGTCCAAACACTGAGCAGAGCCTTTGATGCCCCTTTAATCCCTCTTAGTAATGTTTGCTTGAGGTTCATGTGATAAGGGCTGAATAAAGGAGGCAGAGCAGTGAGCAATCAGGTGATGGTAAATAATATACCAAAAAAATCTGTGCTAGAAAAGGAGCACATTGTCTTAGTCAGCTGTAATAAAGTGGTAATAAAGCTGCTCGAGGACACAGGTGTCAATATAGAGCTGCTTTATAGAAACTGAAATTTTTATAGGTTAAAATAAGTGTTACAGAGTACATGGAACTAAAACTGTGCTGTATATAAATTTATATTCATATATATATTCATATATCCAGTATATTATATCTATTCATCTTATATTATATCTATTCATCTTATATATTTAGATATATTTATAAAAATATTCAGATATATTTGTATATTCAGTATATTTTATATATATTTGTTTAGTATATTCATTTATATATTCATATATATAAATATTCATATATATTCATACAATCAGAATATTATATATATTAATTTATTATGTTCATTTATAAATATGTAAATATATCCATATAAATCTACAGGAGAATTTTCCTGCCATAACTAACATAAGTTCATACTTCTAATATAAAGTGCTATTAAATAGTTATTTCCCTCTCAGGTATGTGTTGAAAAGCTCTGATTTTTGGAACATTTTGAATTCAGGCTTTCCCCTCAGGTTTTGCTGCATCTCCAGACATTCTGGGGCAGACTGGGAGCTGCAAACAGATGGGCTCTGAGCTTTTATTAAGGGTAGAACGTGCTAATTAATCACAATTTATGTTTGGTGCTGATTGCAGGAACCAACTTAGGTGTAGAACTGGCACTGGAAGGGTAAAACTGGATTCTGTGTGTCTGGATTTTGTTTAGACATTTACAGTGAGGCCAAGTGGGTTTAAAATGGGTGTAAAATGCAGCTGAGCAGAGGCAGGAGAGTCTCTACAAGTGTCTGAGAGCCCCTGGAGGGGGATTTAGTGGCAGGGAGAGGAAAAGGGCACCTGAGAGTGCCCTCAAAGCTCTTCTGTGCTGCAGGAAGGAACCAGGAGCTCTGGGAGTGCTGTCACAACTTGGGGTAAAAATAGGCCTGGAATCCTGGAATGGTTTGGGTTGGAAGGGACCTTAAAGCTCATCCCATTCCCAACCCCCTGCCATGGGCAGGGACACCTTCCACCAGCCCAGGTTGCTCCAACCTGGCCTTGGATGCTTCCAGGGATGGGGCAGCCACAGCTTCTCAGGGAATTCCATCCCTCACCACCCTCCTAGGAAAGAATCCCTTCCCTGTGTCCCATCTAACCCTCCCCTCTCTGTTTGAAGCCTTTCCACCCCGTCCTGGCCCTCCTGGCCCTGATTCCCACCTGCTGTTGGAACAACCCCAGTTCCAGTGATCCCTGCTCTGACTTCTGGAAGGACCTTCTGTCTCCTCCCTGGGAGCAACCTGAGACTCCTGGGAGAGGAATCCTTGTTGGGAGCAGCTTCTTTTGGACAGTGTGGCTTGGAGACAGTCACATACCTGCCCCCAGACTGTGTCATCATCCCAGGTTATGAAAGAGGCCTCCA